GGAATGATTAAAGGACTCCAATAACGAGAGGTTTTTATAAAGGTGGCAGATGTTCACGTGCTCGCATGACTATCCAGAGTCTCTTCCTGGTCCACACAGCAAATAACAAACATCTATAAAATTTAAGACTGTTCAAACATTTATGGAACAGACCTAGCATTCCCAAAATATGCTGATATCTACATAGAGCAATCCATCAGCAATCTCACTAATTTCTTTAGAAGAGGGATAAATTAAAGAAGACATCTCCATGGGTCTGTTTCTCCTCTTGTACACACTGCAATTGCTTGGGTTTGCAAATCCTGTATGCCTGCACTGGCATGAATGAGGTTGCACTTGGCCAACATGGCCCTAAGCTGGGATGTGACTCCTGCATTTAAATCTTTGGACTTACCAAACTGTCTCCTAGTTATGCATGGGAACTATGGGTGGCAATGGACTTTACATAATTTATCCCTCCTTGTCGTGACTTTTGGGGAAGATGTAGTAAAAAGGTGATGCAAAACCCCTCAAGCTCTGCTGGCGTTTGGTCAGTCCCTATGGAAGCGATGATGCAGTGGGTGAGAACCAAGCCTCAGCCCTCCCATCCACCACTTGAGCCAGCAGCAGGGCAAAACGGCCCTACTCGGAGGCCCGGATGGACCCACACCCTCATGTGTGGTCACTGAGCCCCCACGGAGCAGCTTCACCTAGCCCCGAGCAGCTGGTTGGGGGATCCAAGCAACAGGGAGCTCCCATGTCTCGCACCCAACACTCAGCATCACCCAGGCACGGCAGGCTGAGAGGACACAGCTCCAGCCTGCCCTCTGAACCTCCTTCCTCCTAGGGGCTTGCATCAGGACCTTCACATTATCCCAATGCTGGTTTTCTCGTGGTTGATTTTATACCTACTCCCAGAAACCGTCTTCCTAGGAAGCTGAATAAAGAGCCACAGTGCCCCTGCCAACTAGCACTGCTGTAGGTCTGCTTCCACGTGGGGTCACATGAGAACATTTCTATGCCCAATAACCTTGTTAGTTCCCTTAATGTCATTCATAATGCAAATGAGACAGCGAGCGAATGGCCAGAGGCCCAGAGTGACTAAAGCTCAGCATCCAGAAAGTCTTACATAGCCTCTAGCTCTAAACTAACTTCCCTCCATAACAAGCACCATAAACTTGGCTATCAAAGCTACACATGCCCAGTCTTTGTTGTACAACAGGCAGCGATTTGTATCACTGGCTTCTATTTTTAGCATATTAATTAACTACTGCAACTGGTGAGGCAAGTGTCTCCAACTGGAGAGTGTGGCGCCATTGTCTGAAGTCATCACCTCATCTCGCGCTATTGAAAATCATGGCAGTGACCCTCCTGCTGATATGAATTTAACCTGACATGCCCACAAAGGGATGGGGGGTGGTGCACCAATTTTGTGCACATGGTTCTCCACATCACCCTGGACCCTATTAGTGTGGAAAGAGCTCATTGAAAGAAAAGAAGCCACATTGTGCTGGGCCACCTAGAGGGTTGAATAGAAAAGGCTGAGGAAAAGAGCAGGCAGCGGAATAAAGGCCGTAATTAACATATTTCCATATTCAAGCAAAGCAATAACTACGTGAAATGTTTGTCAAGGTGCAACGAAAGCATAAATATTAAGTACCGTATCTGAGGCGATGCAGAACCCCCCTCCGAGTCTCTTACATTCCATCGAGAAATTAAAACCAAGCTTTTTACACGTTATTTTCAATTATAAACCTCTATCCCCACTCCCCCCATGATAACAAGCCAAGTCTTGCCATCCTCACACAGCTTCCACCCAGGTAAAACTGCCCCCAGAACTAAGTTACAAGCTTGCCCTGAGATTAAAAAAAAAAAAAAAAAATCAAAGAGAGAGGACTTAAACATTTGACTCTGAAACATAGACTTTTACTTCAAATTCTTGTTGGAGATGATGAACCCTGAATTACAGAGGGAATCTTACTAAAATTGCTTGTTACTGGACACCTGAAGCAAGGCTAAATCCTTCTTTTGGACTTACGTGCAACCCTGGTTAGCGGGCACCCAGAGCCTGCACCAAAGACATGGTTCTGCCTCTAACTTTGTTGTGTTTTTTGTACATTGCCACAGAATTACATAAAAGCCTCATTAAAAGTCAGAGGCGTAGTGCAACAACGTGTAGTCTACGAGGATGTGAACACACAAACACTTCAAGGAAGAAAAGGGTTGTTAGAAAGCAGGACTTGTTTTACCTTCTGTTCCCAGGCAATAAACACCAGAAACCATCCCATCCCCATTTCGCTATCACCTTTTTCCCTAAAGGACCTTAAAAACAAGGGACCAACCTTGCACAACCCCACTGACATGTGCTGCAAATGAAAAAAAAAAAAACAAAAAAACCCACCAATATAAGAAACGGCGCCCTTTGAAACGCAGCCACCCCTGGAGCAGCCAGCCAGAGGCACCGAGCAAATTCAGGGTACCCTGAACCCGCACCCTGCTTTCAGACCGGAGCTCGCGCAGCCAGGGCGCGAATGCACGCACGTGCCGAGGACGTCCTTCCGCCGGCGCGGCACACCTAGGCGACGGTCAGGTTCTAGGACCCCGCGCACCGCGGCCGAGCTCTTTTGCTGGCTCTCTCCTGATCCAGTGGACTCCACTGCCTCCGAGCCAGGAAAATGCAAGGTTGACAGTCAGTCTAAAGCAGGAGGGAAGGGGAGGCAGGAACCCAGAGAGGTCCTGCATGGGGAAGCCCTAACTCGCAGCCAACAAG